TGCATCGCCCAGGCCAAGGCAGCCAAATTAGGTAGGATATCCCTGGTCGCTTGCCTAGGTGGGCACCCAAGGCTTGCTCCCCGCCTAGGGGCGGAAATGGCCATTGTAGAGGGCATTTTTTTGGTCATTTTTTTAATACTTAAGGGGCACAATTGTGGGTTTTATGTTCATTTGAAACCTAAAATCCATTAGAGCCTATTTTAGAGAGAGAAAAAAACCCCAAAAAACTAGTTTTTGGTGATTTCCATAGGATCGAAGGGTTTCTCAAAGTTTTGAGAAATTGATTTAATCATATCACCCAGTGATATTAGATTTAGTTTTGGATGTTTTATAAATCTAGGGAGTTTTTTAGAAGATTTTGAATCCTTAGAAGCACCTTAGAGGTGGAAGTTTGTAGATGGAGCAATCAAAGGTAGTGATTTTTTTTTTATTGCTTGTATTATTTTGATATAATTGGATATGAACTTATGGGTATGGAGTATGGAGTATGGAGGAGTGTGTGCTATGTGGACTTGTGTACTCTACATTTGATGTGCCCTGAATCCCGAATTCTTATGTGTTATATAGTTATATTTATACTGTTAGACTATAAAGACATTTTTCTTTCTAATGGGCTGTCCAAGTTCTGGGCAGCCGCCTAGGCGTTAGGCGGCCTTGACCCCCCTGGCCGCCTAGGCGTCGCCTAGTGCTTTTTGAAACATTGGCATGATGGCGCACTATTTATTGTTTTTGCTTTTCTCATTCTTTCTGGTGACTTATTTCTAATATCTTTAATGAGTTTAGGGTGTGATGTTATGTGGAGTTGCAAACACTCAACTACTTAAAAGAATTTCTGATGCAAATTCGTACCCAAAAGAAAAAAATTGAAGATTTCTAAAAGAAGCTTGATGAATTGTTTCGAAATTAAAAGGAAGCTAACAAGTCTAGCTTCAATGGCTTTGCAGAATTCACAAGAATTCAAAGAAACAATTTTTCTAAACGATGACTCATATCTGAACCAAAACGGTAACTTTGCTATTTATACACTTTATTTAGACCTTGTAATCCTAATACTAATGGGATTGAAACTCCTAATTAAAATTTGACTGGAACTTCACACCTTTGCCCTTGAAGAAATAAATTAAGACAAAGTCGTAAAGGTAACATTGGCATAATACCCAGATTTTGCATGGGCATAACTTCTCACTCAGATATAAAAAATCGCTATTATTGATCCCATTTTGGACATGGCAGCGAAAGCTTTATAATGTTCAATATCACTATGCACGTTATGCCCAAGCCCAACAAACTAGGCAGAAAAATGCGTCTGAAGGCCCGAACGTCGGTCCTCCTGAAGTTTGTTGTACATTGTTTGACTCTTTTGCAACATGCAAACCCTTGTGTGAAATTGAGCACATAAAAATGCAATATGTTGGAAGAGAATTTTGAATTCTGATCTTTGAGAAACTCTGTGTCATTTCTTAAGAAAAAAAAAGAAAAGAAAATAAAACAAGGAAAAAATAAACTTCTTGTGTAAACTATCTCGGAAATGGTTAGACCACCGAAGCTCTTTCTTTATTAAACTCCCCTACCCTTCTGCTACTCTCTTTCTTCCTTCATATCTCATTTTTTCTCTCTCATTACTTTCTATTTCTCTCCTACCTCTCCATCACCACTCTTTCCCCATTTCTCGCACCAATCCTCCTCATCTCTCACATTTCCTCCAATCTTCTCTCTGAGCTAAGAAAAGGTTCTTTATTTTGTTCTTTTTTGTATGTTCCTGAGCATCCTACTTGTGGGATACTATCATGCACATCTCATGGGTTTTTTCTAACCATAAAGTATTAATTAATATATTGTCACATGTACTTTAAAAAAAAAAAGAAAAAGAACTCTTGGAAAGTTTGATGTTCTATTAATATGGGAAGGCAATACTTGTGGGCTAAGGAATAGGGCGTTTCTGTTTGTAAGAACGTTATCAATTCCACCCTTGCAATGACTTTTGGTTTTTCCTTTTACAGACAGTCCTTGATTCATATTTACTTAAGTTGTATACAAGGTGTTGAAAGGTGCATTCGAGAGGCACAATTATGAACTGATAGAATTTCGATATTGTTTTTGAAGTGAGGTTATCAATGATCTAGATATCAGAAAGGGTAAAAATCTATGACAATGAGGTATATTACATTCATGGAATGAGTGATTAATGCCATATATGGCTGTGCCCCATATTTGTACCCATTCTATAGGCATTATTTACTACTTGTAATGGCATGTACATCCTAAAATTCCTAAAAAACTAAAAGCCCTAGAAATAAACCTTCAAACCATAACTATAATATTCATCATTTGAAATTGAATAAAATAAAAAATAAGAATAATTTTTCCCTCCACCTTTTGAACGCCAGGACTTTCTTTGCTATATTTTAACGGAGCTTATTGTTGTTCTCTGCTTTGCCCTTTATTTTAACCCCAATATGATATTCCTTATATGGAGCCCTGCTTGTTTTCTCATGCTTCAGGGGACTTTATAGATACTCTAGGCTTTCGAAAACATCTCCATTTTTCTGTTACCTCTCTCTTAGCTTGCTCCAAATTCCCAATTATTAAGTTAACATTTTTTTTAAAAAAAATCCCAATTATTGCACCCCATCTTTCATTCTCCATATCCCTGCAAACTTCTTTTATATTTTTTTGCCTTTCACCCTTTTCGTTGTGAATTTAATCGTTCAGTTTTAGCATTTGCAGTTTCCTAAAAGAAGTTAAGGTACCCACCCTGCATGTTGAAGTTCTACTCTAAAGCCCATGTGCTTGTGACACCTCTTAACTGACTTGAGGAAATCTTGGGAGTTGTATTACGGATAAATGGCTAAGGATCAGTATTGGTCTTAAGAAGATGATGTCTCAGTAATTATTGTCTTAGTAATCTCCTTCCTCAATAAACTAATAAAAGGAACAGTCCTAAAGATTTATTCAAGACTCAGCAGCGACAGGAGTTTTTGAGATTTTAATTGAAGTCATAGGCTCCCTGCAGAGCAGCATGGGTGAAGTGAGTTGAAATGCTGGCATCACCCCGTATTGTTAGAGCATTAAAGCATCATAAAATATTTTCAATTGGAAATGGCTATCTTCTGAACTATATTATTATCTTCCCAATGTCTTGTGACCTGTGAGCCCTTTGAAGAGAACCAAAGGAAAATTCCAAAGTGGATAGTTTCCCTAATGTCTAATGATATTCAAGTCCACTGATTTTTCAAGAAAATAACATTTTCAGTATTAGGATTTCTTTAAGGACTAGGACCAAGTGATGTCATGCTGGGGAAACTAAGGTAAGGTTTGGGAACATCGTCATATCTATAAAATGTTGCCAAAACCTAAAGTACAAGAAATATTTACTGGCTTTCTCTTGCGGGCTTGGTATGCATATTCAGTAGCTGCAAACATGGGGCTTGAATCATACAACTAGACGTAGAAATGCATCTCTACTAGCTTCCCTGAAGATATATTTTTTTTCTCGGAGAAAAGGATTGAGATTTGTGACAATTGAGAAAATGTCTCAGATTCCAATCTTAGGGAAATTTTGCAGAATCTGCATTTTGCCTCGTTTCAGTGTTTTCTGAATGTGTTTTGTTTTTTTATTTGGGTTGGGGCGGGGGGGCGAGGTGGTGTTTGTTTAAGGACATTTCAGGGAAAGAATGCTCGAGTGCCTCCAAGCCTTTACTTCGGGTTAAACAATGACATGAGTTCCCTCACATGCATCCTCCGCATATCATTTTGTAAGATTTGTCAGTGTTTAGGGTCATATGCAGAAATTTTGTGATTTGAACTTCTAATGCTTGAAAGATAGCATTACTATCATCAAATTCTAAATCTATTAGGAAACAAATATAGAAAGTGATCCTCAGGATTTTATATGTGAATTTTGAATGTGAAGATGACTAGTTTTTTTGAGTCCGGTGGAGGTCACACTCATAGATTTCTAACTGGAAGAATTGTTGGTGGAAGTTATTTTTTCAGAGTAATTTATGCTCTTGACTACCAGATTCAGGTCACAAGGATTGGATACTTCCTTGAGCTACCTTGAATGCAGACATTTGAGGTTCTTTCACCCCCACAATCTATTCAGTGGTGTCCTGGCCTACCAATTGAGATATTGAAATCATTTTTGTGGATCATTTGTCTTGAGTATTTCTACTATTTTGTTATTCTTAAGGTCAAAAAAACATAACCAGTTATCTTCCCGATACATTATGTGATCTGTACTTCCTCGCATAGAATGAGTTTAGTGCTTTCGTTTTTCCTGATGTTTTAAGAGTAATTGATTGTGCTGGTTGTGTTTCTTTTTCGTTTGTTTTTGGACAAATATCTCCTATGTACTCCTAGGGAACAGTAATTATAGTAACTTATATTTGTTCAGGAAGGATTATTGTCCCAGTCTTATTTAAAAAAAAATTGTCCCAGTTGAAGAGTCCTGTAATTTCAGGTAAATGGTATTGAGATTGGTTGTCAGCTCACACCCTGCAGATTTCTAATCTTTACCCTCCTTAATATGCGGCCTCTTAGTAACGACATGCCTTATTCAAATTGTTTTGCAGTATACTCTTGCCATTGATATTTGGAGTATAGGTTGCATATTTGCCGAGGTATTGACAGGAAAGCCACTTTTTCCTGGTAAAAATGTTGTTCACCAATTGGATTTGATGACTGATCTTCTTGGTACACCTTCTTTGGATACAATCTCTCGGGTATTCCTCTAACCCTTGTGATGAACTAAACAAGTTTCCCTTTACAACTGAGGTAGACACTTTCTCTGAAGCTTAAGTGTGTTCCTCATTGCCAGGTACGGAATGAGAAGGCTAGGAGATACTTGAGTAATATGAGGAAGAAGCATCCAGTACCTTTTTCCCAAAAGTTTCCAAATGCAGATCCTTTGGCCCTTAAGCTTTTAGAGAGATTATTGGCATTTGATCCAAAGGATCGCCCCACTGCAGAAGAGGTAATATTTGTTGTTTATCATTAGAATTCATCCCCCCCTTCCCTCCCCTCTC